GGCATAAGGCTTTTTAAAATCGATACTTATCTGACTAATCTCATAACTTATTTCAGCATCCACCGATGCTGAAATACTATAATGTATAACCTTCATTTATAATTGCATCATTAATAAATTAATTATTTAAACCCAGTTTATTTTCCGACGGCCTCTAGTTGCTGTCGGAGAATGAACATATATAGGAGTTATTGGTATTATTGATTTGGTCCAGAGTTTGTAAGTATTTAAAAATATACTAAAGTCCTATAATTTATTAATGTATACTGCTAAAAATAGCCATTCTGTCTTTGTTTCACCGCGAAAATGGGTAAATCGGTAATAAGGATATGCAATGTGATGTAAGATTATAAGGCTATTTGAGAGTCTATTGTAGCTTATTAGTAAAATCGATGATGTAATCTCACATGAGCAAAATTAAATAAATAGGAAGTTCGATCCTAAAGATCGAACCTAGACTTTGATTTTCGTTAATAGAAACTTGAACCTAAGAAATAACGTTAAGTAAACTGCTAGTTTTGCAGTAGTAAGGATGTTGTGAAGGAGGTGATTGGTAAGAAAGACGAAAGCAAAGTGAGACCAAAAGCGAGCGTCAGAGCTTATAAATAAACTAAGCTAACAAACTGCCTACTAGAATTAAGTACTGAGTGACTTATTAATCCTCACGACAATATGTAAGATTAACGTAGCATTGGGTATATATTTATCTTTTAGGAATCATTGAGAACTGATTTATTTCCAGGTTCTTATTATATTTATGTACTATTTTTTTCTATTAAGGCTATGTATATCATAATGTTTAGCTTTACACAGTCACAAGGCATGCCCGAGCAAAAGGTGCATGCCCCTAGTTGAACATCTGGGCAAGCCTAAACATTTTGCCATGCCCCTCACCCTAATTCTGACATACAGAGGCTATACATTTGGATTAACGATAGAAGAAAAACGGTTAGTATCTGCAAAATGGCGATGTGCATAACAATACATTATTGCTATGCACATCGCCATTTTGCAGACACTAACCGGTTTTTTTTTTTAGTTGATCCCCAATGAATACTGTATACAAATAAAGTTTAAGTGACTATCATTAAATAAGAATGATGTAAGAGCAAATTTAAGTATATATAGAAGGCTCTTTTGTAAGACTTAACGCCAATAATGAACTGACATATTTGCACTTGGCAGTGGATTGGTTGTCATATTATCCATACCTTTGGGCTTGCTGTCAAAACAATTAAAACTTCACGTTCTCTTGATAATAGCGGCATTAGTATGAGAAATTAAAATAAATTTTATTGTTGTATAGACAATATGATATTGAAGAATGTGTTTTTTTTTACCTTATAATTCTTGCCGATTATCTTATTTAAGGTTATTCTAACCTGTCCTGTATGGTGTATTTTGAGAAAAAAATCTTCTCCTAATGTCGCTTAAACTTTTTTTTCATATTGATACATTGTTACATAAAGTCAAATTCTGTCAATGACATTACTATTAGGGTATTTAAATAACATTTACAATAATAATTTTTATTTGACTTATCAAAATTATCTCAATAATATGACACATTTTCCTGAAAGAGCTTTTCTTGACATTACCTGAAATTTTTTTTCATATAATAAAATAGTGGCATTAAAATAATAGGTTAACCTGATTCTGGCTATTTATTTAATTTAAGGATAGTTTAGGTACGCCTAACTGTGCAATATGTATGCTATGTGCAGTAAAAAAAAAAAAAAATACATATATATCCACTTTATGTGCAATTTTTTTTTTACTTTTTGACAAAAAAAATTTCGACATGTCTCAAAGTAGTAAACAAAAATCCAAAATGCTTGTACCACCTGTTGAAAGACAAGAATCAATGAGTTCTTCAACATCCGAATCATACGAAACAAACATACCTAGTGAAGAAAATCCTAAAAGCACTGAAGGCACCAGGAGGTATAGCAGTTCTGAAAATACTGAAGGTACAAGAAATGCTAGTGGTCCTGGAGGATGAGGTATATCATCTGTTTGGTTGTTTTTTGAACGAGGAAAATCTAGTTCAGCTGGACATTATTCAGCAAAATGTTCGTATTGTGCATCTAAATGGGCAAGAGGTGAGCCACAAAAACTTGAGGCTCATCTTGCACTTGAATGTGCTTATGTAGATGATGAAGTTCGGCAAATATATTTACTTCGTGTATCTAATCGTGATCAGTCAAATGAAGCAGAATCTGATATTCAAACAGTTTTAAAAAAACAAAAAATAAACAAGCAGTCTAGTATTTCAAAGTTTTTTCCATAATCAGAAGGTGGTTTATCTGAAGCACGAATAAATGCTATAAATAGCTCATTGTTAAAGGCCTTTGTAGTTTGTGGCATTCCATTTTCAGTGGTTGAAAATCCATTTTTTATCGACCTTCTTCAAAATTTGTGTCCAAACTATCAACCACCATCAAAAGAAGTATTAGCAGGTCAATTATTAGACCAAGAGCACTCTAAAATTATAGTAAAGCGGGAAGCTATATTTCAAGAATCAAAAAATTTAACTATAGGTATATATATATTTAATAATACTATATTAAATAGTATAATTTGAATTATACTATTCAATATAAATTTTTAAATTTTATTAGTTAGGCCGTTCGAAGTTGATTCTTCAGTTAACATCACCCCCCTAGCTGAAGTCTCCCCCTGAAAAATGAACAACCAATGAAAATGCTAGATAACTCTTACCAATCACTTGATTTACATCGAACAATCAAATTAACATATATTTTTTCATTTCATATGTTTATTTCATTTTATCCCCCCTCCCAAGAATTCTAAAAGTGATATTAACCGAAAATTCAACTGCAAGCGGCCTTCATAATAATATTATTTTATAATTTAATACTTAAATTATTATTATTGTAGCACTTGATGGGTGGACATCACCTAATGGAAGCTCAATTTATAGTTTTATTATTTTAACACCAATGCATAATAAGTTTTTATATTCATTATATGATTTTTCTTTAAACTCACATACTTCAGAATTTCTTTCAAACAAAATTAATAATGTTATAAGTGAAATTGGTGATGATAAATTTGCAGCAATTGTGACTGATAATGCTAGCAACATGAAACTTGCTCGTCAAATTGTTCATAAAACATATCCAAAAATTTTAAATTTAAATTGTATTGCACATTGTATTAATCTTATATCTAAAGATATTCTTAGTAAGTATTAAAGTATATAGTATATTTAATTATTATAGAATTAATATAAATTTTTATTTAGAGCATGCATTTGGTCTACATCTTATAAAAGATTGCAATGAAATTATAAAATATTTCAAAAAATCACATCAGCCAAATGCATATTTACAACAAGCAATTAATGAATTAAAAATCTCTGGAGGAGGGTTAAAAAAATTTATTGATACAAGATGGACCTCTGCATATGAATGTACTTTATCTGTTAATCGACTTGAACGTGCATTTGTTAAAGTAAGATATTATATTTTGTTAATATTTTTAAAATTTAAACTAACCTTTATTAAAATTAATATAGATTATGAATGAAAATCCGGAATTAATTACAAATCGTAATATCAAACAGATTTTAAGAGGATTATACTTTTTTTCTGATCTTAAAGCTTTAATTAAGGTTTTAGCTCCCATTCAATTAATAATTACAAATTTAGAAGCCCGATCAACTACCTTAGCAGATTGCTTTGTACAATTTGTTCGGTTAGCAGCTTCTATTAAAAAAATTTCAGGCTTTCAAATCAATGCATTTAAAAATTATTGCATACAAGTTATTAATAGAAGATGGAGAAATTTTGATAGTGATATTTATATATTGGCTTACTTTCTTCATCCAGGATATCGTGATAAATAATTATATTAAATTTGTTAATTAAAATAATTTAAAAAATAATAAATTAATTATATTAATATAATATTTTATTAGGTGCTGGGTTGCGAGAACAACATTTTCAAGTTGTTGCAGAAACAGCAATTAAATTATGGCAAGAAGAAGGAAAAGATCAATACGAATGTGCAGATCTTGTAGCATATATGCGACGATTTTTAGAAAAAGATGAAGGATTTAAATTACCTTATAGTTTTGAAAATGATACTCCTCTATTATGGTGGTCAACTAACTTTGTTGGATCAAAATCAATCGGAAAACTTGCAACCAAAGTATTTTCAATTACCCCTCATTCTGCTGATTGTGAAAGAACTTTTTCAGCATTAGGTTGGCTTTATGGAAAACGGCGGCAAAGACTTTCTCTGTCCCGAATTCAAGCTATGGCTCAAGTTCGGTCCTTTTGTATTTCTAATATAAAAAAAGAGCTAACTTATTTTGGTAAAACATTATCACCTGATGACTTACACGAACAAATAAAGTTTGCAACGTTTTTGGCAGAAGATGATGACGAAATAGCTGAAGATTCTGAAATAGAGGAAGAAGAGTCTGAGTATAATTTTAATGTTATTGAACGATTTGATCTTGATAATATTGTGTTCTTAAATGATGAAATTTTTCAAGATAATGAGTCAGATGAAAATTCACAAATTGATGATGAGTTTGATGAAATTGAGCATGATGAATTGACATCTAGTGATGTAGAAGGACGTGGTGTTTATGAATTTGATTCTTCAAAATTAGCGGCAGATTTGATACGAGGGTGGGGTCATGAAGATTATGAAAGTGTTAATGATAGTTTAAATAGCATAGCAAATGAAGTAAGCGAAAATATTAGTGAAAATGTAAATAACATAGAAGGTGAAGATAGTGTTTTAGAAACTTTACCTATAGCACTTCGTAAAACTTGTCGCCAAAGTAAAAAATAAAATTTTTAGTAAATAAATTTTGTTGTTTTATAATTATAATAGTTTCATCGATTTTGGGTCAAAATCCCAAACAACATTATTGAAAGAATGTAATACTGACTAAATTGGGCAGAATTATAGCTAGTGCCAGCTAACTTTGTCAGTATTATGTTCTTTCGGGGATCTGTTTTTCGGATTTTGACCCAAATTTAGTTTC